ATTTTTCACAATTAGGGTTTAATTTGATTGAACATTTCATCAAAATCATTTGTAGAATTTACCTACATTAACAAAAATTACCAAGAGCTTTTGCATCAAAATACATTACATATCCTTCCGGTTGGTCTTTACGTTTACAATTTGAATGACCACGTTTTTTTATAAACGACGCAAATTACAATCCTTAGCATATGGATTTCAGTTAGTATGTACATAAAAATCATTATTAAATCCGATGTTACAAAATTGCATTAATATACGAGGTGTTTCCTGGCGTTAAGTAGCACATAGAATTACAGTCCGAATTGCACCTGCAGTGCATATATCGTCGATTTATCCGGCGAGAACATGTTATCGGCGGTTTTGCCCTCAGGAGTCAGCTTCCCCTTAACGCGATGCAGAAAAAACATCCTACGTAACTTCCAACAAGCTTCAATGATCTAAATGAACCCTAGGCGTTGAAAAAAGTTCGTGAAATATGCCTACTGGTATTATTATTCGTTCTGGATATCGGATTCATGATACGATCACCATACACTGTTAATAAAATATCAGAGTTGTAAGTTTATGACTTTGCGAATTATGCTTAGAGATTCTACGTAGCACTTATGAATATAAAGAAAATGTTTATTCATTATGAAAACCAACTTTACAATATTATACAAAACGTCTATAAACTTTTTTGTAAAAATTTTGAAAAGCAAATTAGTGATAATCGAGCAGTTTTTTTCAAAGACAAGCTATTTGTTAGGATAAAGCACATATAATTATATACCCAAAAATCAATAATTTTCTGTTATTATTTCAATACTAATATTTGTTTTAATCATGTTCAGAATTCTCAATTTTAAACATCTCTAAAATTTCTCTTTATTAATAGTCTTACCATAAATGTCTATTTTTTATCAATTACTATAATAGGTATATCATTTTGTATCTCGATTTTTGCCAGGAAACATTTTTGACTAAATTTTGATTCAGATTTTTCGAGCTTATGAGAATATCAAGGCTGCCTAACTCTAAAATTTATTAAAAAGACATGCAGTTAAATTTTTCATATTGTGAGAGAAGAAATGATAGATGAACTTTTCCAAATAAATTTGAGTAGAAAACATCAAGAAAAAAACTTATGTAGTCATCTTTAAAAGCTCGATTTAAAAACGCCTATGGAATAAAAATTTCTAAAACAGCATGATTTATATAAATATTTTTTATATTCACTGTAAAATACGTTAATTTCCTAAATTAAAACAGCAACGCACTTAAGACAAAAGCATAAAAAATATTATATAGCTATATAAATTATTTTTGAGTTATTTAATTTCATGGAAGTTATCAGGTAGTGATCATGGTTATAATTTTTTTAATTAAAAATTCTAATTAATGCCCACATAAACTTCGCACATTATTAGTGCAAGTTATATTGTGGCAAATTGCAAATTAAGTCATGAATTTTAACTACTGTTAATGGAAAGAAAAAATTATGTAACGCGTGAATTCATGTAGGTTGTATTAACATATCTATGCAAATCTTGGAGTAACAATGAGCAAATTTAATTCTTGAAATAGTTGAATGTAATTGTTCGGTAACTAACTTAGCAGCGATTTTATTTAATAACTCATGTACTTGAAAACTCTAAATTATACTATTTTTAAAATAGTATAAAAGGATGTATTATATTGACAAAGATTATATTTCATAGTTGTCATATTTTTTCCATTTCAATTTAGATGATATTTTTTATCTACATTTCTAACAATAAGTAAAAGTAGATTGCGTGATCATAATGCAACTAAAAACAATTAAAATAACACTGACTTTTAAAAATAAAATGAAAGCAAAAATTGAGTAATGCAAAAAATGACGAGCACTATAATTAATTTTTGCACTTGGCGTTGTTTTAGTTATTAAATAGAAAAGTCTTACATGTTACTAAATAGTAAAATCTTACAATTTTTAAATTTGTTAATATTTTAAATGAATTTATGTGACTTCTTCAAAGCCTAACATATGTATCAATTATAGCTAATTTTTGCAAATCATATATGTAATAATCAAAGTATTAAAACGAAGTATCGACATCGTTTACTGAATAATAAATTGCCATCAAATTTTTTACTATTAAACTAATTTTCTGAAAAGAACTCAAAAGATTGATACAATGTATCGTATTTTGAAGTGATTCAATCCTATTTGAATCAAATTTTCATAGCATACACTTATAGTTTCTTTAAAAATTTAAATTTTTTGTCAGTAGATTAACAGTGTAGTATGATGATCTGTTCGATATATCGAACGATGCGAGCTTATCGCGATAAAACACCATATCGAAATTGGGCGAGAGATAAAGACGGCGCTTTATTTTATGCTAACTTGACAGATGCGTTATTATAATATCTTAGCCAGGGGGTTCGTTTTCAGCGACCGAGTCTCTCGCTTATTAGGGATGGGCGACTTTGGAAAAATTTATAGTCGATACTAAATCGTAATCGATTCTTATCATCGTCATTAAAGCATAAATTTTACATAAAGCATAAAAATACTATGTCATATATGCATTATTTTCTTTCTCTTTACATGCTTATGTTTGGTAATTATACAAATATCAACCGTCCAGAACAGTTGTGACTGACATATGTTTCTTATTCAAAATCTACCAGAAATGTTAATTAATGATTATAAGTCAAAATACTGAAATCTAGTCAGAACCATCATTACAATTGTGACAAATGTAATAGTTAGTTTTGTAAAAACAAAAAAGCAGCAAATAATAATCAAAATGAAAGAATTTGATTGGCTACTGCGTAAAAAGCCTAAGCTCTCTGTTGAAAATAAGTTGCTGCTATATGAATCAATCATTAAACTAATCTGGACCTACGGAATTGAGCTCTGGGGATGTGCTAACAAATCAAATATAGCTATAATGCAGAGAACTCAGTCAAAAGTTTAACATGTATTATATTAATTGATTGATTTTATAATGATTTTTGATTAGATATCTTTTGGTTTTATATTAATATATGGCATGGTTTTATTTTGGCGTGAACGCATAGTTATGATCGATCTGAATTAACAACGCAAAAACTAATTACTGGTAATTAACCACTAATTTATATCTTATAGCAAAATAATAAACGAAGTAATCTATCTGTACAAAAATAACAGTTAATACTAAAATAAATTGTTCGTAAAAACTTACTTTTGACTCTTTAAAAGCAATGCCGTCTACAGATCATGTTAATGTAGGGCGCTGAATAAAAGCAATAATGGGAACTTGTTCAAACAAACATACTACATCTGTTTCTCCTAAGTTCAATAATTGCATATCTTTAGTTCTAATATTTACTTAAGTGCTCTGCGAATGGATAAACAAAATTTGTGTCCTTTGCAAAACAGCACAGATATATTCATAATCACCAATGCAGTTTTACGACATAAAATTTAATATTAATTTCGATAATATCGATAAACATTTCACCATCCTTATCCCACCATATGAATCAATACCTGTATGGTATAAGCAGAGTGCAAAAGGTATCATTTGCGTTCGTTTTTCGTTAAGTTCTCTTCAGAGGAATTTCGCGCGATAAGAATCTGAATAACCAACCCCATCGATGAGTAATAATATCGACAATGAATTATTGCACTGTAGTTTGCTTTGTAATTTGCACAAATGTTGCACATATGTTAACGTGCTGAGTGTCGGTCGAGAAGTACCAAACAAACTACTGGCACGAAAGATAATCTAACAGAAGTGCAATTATTTATTGATATTTGAACTGCATAAATTATTATTTGTTGATAATAATCGTAATATTATAAGTTTAGTTAATTTTGTTACGAAAAAATACTAGGAACAGTAACGAGACTTGAAAATTTACTAGGATAATTTTTAGACCCACGATTTTTGATATTTCCTTAAAATACACACGCTTCCTTTATTAAAAGTTAGGCTACGTGAAAGCTAATAGAAGTGCAATTATTCAGTATAAATTTATTTGCCTGAATTTTTATTTCTTGATCAAATACAAGTCAAGATTGGAAAACAATCCAAATGATCTCGCAAAGGACCTACTTTCTGCTAAGGAAGTACTATCAGAAGACTAAGAAGATTAGATCAATTAGACAGTATAGTTATATATTTAGTATAGTGCTTTTAATTATTCTCACATATTTATATTTATTATTTGCTTGTAATTATTGCCACATATTTATTTTTATTATACAAACTTGAAATACTATCAATGAGTAGTACTTCAAAATCTTATTTAATATCTTAATAATTAGACACAACAACTACTGAATGCCTTTTCAGGCAGTTGTAGTTTGATGAAAAAAAAATCTTGATGAGATTTTAGCTAAGTTTATTCCTGAGTGTAGTAGAATTATTAAGATTGTTGAAAATTAATGTACCTATATAATCGATGCATATATAAGTGAACATTCAATCTTTATTTAATTTATTAATTACTCTTGATGTAAAATAACTTAGTTAAAAAAATCAATAAAACCTACATCTTTGTATATCTGTAGCCCAAAAGTAACTAAATTATCATAAATAATTTTATTGATTTTTTCTATTTTAATTTTTTTTAATAGAGTTAAGGTTTAGACTGTATGTAAAATGACTGAATGTTTATATTTTTGTAATACAAAAAAAGTTTCAAAATTTTTAATTAAAATTCTTTATTTTTTTAATATTATTCTTGTATAATTAATTAAAAAAAAATTTCTTAATAGTATCGTGAAACTGCTAAATTTATTTATGAATAACTGAGTATTTGATGTGATAAAGTATGAATAGTATCACTTTAAATAAAAAAATCACTATTAAAATATTCAATTTTTGATAAGAAACTATCGCTGCAGCATTCTATTTTATAAATACGTATTTTCATCTGCACCTCAAAATCTTGTCTTACTCGAAGTATGCAGTAGTTAGTAATTTTTAAAATAAAAACATTAATTTCTTAATATTTTATATATTTTCAAATTACAGGAACTTTGAGACCACCTGGACTAATTGGAGGTTCGAAGCCAAAAGTGGCAACTCCAGCTGTAGTGTCAAAAATAGAACAATATAAACGAGAAAATCCAACGATATTTGCTTGGGAAATTAGAGAACGTCTTATATCAGAAGGTAAAAATAGACATAAACTTCAAAATACTTTCAGTTGTTCAATTATTAAATTGTTGCTTAAAATGTAATACTCTTAAAATGTAAAGCTTTGCCTGAAGCTGTCGAGTGACAGAGAAATATTATCATTTATAAATAATGAAACCTTTATTTAGTAAACTTTATCATTCCTCTCCAGGCCTTAAGGAATACTTAAAGTGTTCAAAATCTAATAAACTTAACAACCGCACTATATACACCATAATGATATAATATACATGTAGCTTCAGTTCAGTTTCGCCTCAATTTGCACAATTTCCTTACACTTCGTATCATGATAGCCTAATTGACTTCTTACATAGCAACATATTGCATAAGATCAAAAGCACAGGGTTGATTAATCATGGTAACATTGCCCTGTTTTCCCGTGTGAAAATTTCTATTTTAGACAAAAGCGTGCTAAGAATAAGCGCCCGAGTCGCCTGATTACTACGCGGATTCTTAATAACAACTTTAAAGAGCAAATCAGAAGTCTATCACGGGGAATAGTGAGAGAGCTGGAAGGAAAAATAATAGTCAAGAGTCTGAAATCGTAGTTTTATGCCCAAGATTTAGACAAAGTTTTGCTTCAAGAAAAATTATTATGGAAAAAATGTTTTACACACACTTATATTTATTAATATAATCAATTATTAATAAATATGATATTAATTATAATTTTTGATTGATTTAATATTAGGTCAAGGTATGGGTTCAGATTATTTCGTTGTCATTAAATGGTAATGAGTTTTTGTATCGATTCCTAATACTTGAAATAATCTTATTTTTAATATAGTGTGAGGATGTAAATATACAGAACACAAAATAAAACATGAAAACAAGATTAAAATTATACTAGGTTCAATAAGCTATGAAGACAAATTAGTAAAAATTATATTTCAAATTTGTACTTTACGTTACGTAGTTATAGAATTTATATAAAATTCTCTTTCAACTCAGGTTGTTGGGTTATAATATAACCCTTGTAGCTGTGGACTGTATTAAACACTGATTTGTTTGTATATTATGTATTTGTTGCAGTTCTAATTACAATCACTGATTTGTTACTAAGTTCTAATGAAAGAAGATATATTTATTTTTATTGGTTATTTACATGTTAAGCGGACTTTTCTTTTTGGAGTGAACAACTAGTTTCATTGAAACACTCCGCTCCCCCTCAACCAGGGATAGCAACCAATCGTGTAAAGCTTAATGCCCTGAAGTTTGTCACCTTCATGGCCAATAAATAAAACGAAAAGACGTCCGAACAAAGTTAAGGCTGCTTCATGGTATGAAATTTTATCTCAGTGTTTATACAATTTGGAAATGAGCTTTTTAAGCTTGTATTTATGTTCGTTTATTGATATATGTTATTACAATTCACTGCTTAAACAAAGGCAAAAATGAACTTATTGCTTTAAAACCTCAATATAAAAAGAATTGGACTGGATTGGAAGAGATGCCTCAGATATCTATACCAAAATATATGTTCTCCATTAAAATCTAACATTTTGTTTTTTATATATATTAACATATGATTTTTTTTCCATTACACCAAAATATTGGCTTAAGTTCATCACACCTTATTTGAAATCTTTATATGCCTTAGGAATATATTTCTTAATTAAATTTGCTAGCTCTCGGTTTAATTGAGTAGAAAAGTTGCACACAAACATATTGTAAACATATGAGACTATGATGGATTACTGATAATTTAATAAATAAGCAATTACAACATACTAAAGTTGTTGTATCAAAGAACAAGTAATGATCATATGCGTTCTGTCCAGGTGGAGGAGGTACGTGCAAATACGAAACCAGATCTGAATCGATATTTCTGATGAAACTAGAAAACACTAGCAGGGTTTTGCATTGAAATAAATTATTATAAAATATCATCTTTTTAATTAAATTGTTTATGAACATTGGATCATCAAACAAACCTTTTGATCTCAACCAAATTCAGACTCTAAAATTGTTGGTCTTAGGGGCCTGTCTTAACTTTAATTAGAAAACAGTTGACTGTAGTGATTTCTTGATTAAATAATATTAGTTCTATTTTAAATCTTCCCATTAAAGTTTATAAAATTATATAAGTTTGATTGCGATTTAGAAAAAAAAAACAAAAATTAAATATTAAATATTTTGAGAAAATAAAAAAATTAAAATACTACTGAACAAATTAATATAGCCCTCTTCTTTATATTACTACATTGGTCTTTTATATAAATTAGTTGATAGCTCAAGTATTTTTATATTATTCAACATCGATTATTAATGATCAAGAATAGGTTTTTACTTGTTTTTTTTCTTGACTGATTCAAAAATATTTTGTAAATAGATTTTCAATATCTTATAACACTAAATTTAGAACCATTGGAGATTCGGCTCTGCATGCATATGCATAAAAAAGCATAATATTTTTTATTTATTGTGTGCATCAATTTGTTATATAATTGGTTTAAACATAATATATGGAGAGTTTAATCTGTCAAAGTTTGACGTTCGAGAGCGAGCAGCAAAATCGCCTTTGTTCATATTTGATTTCTTTGGTTTGCTCGCGTTGATTGTTGGAGAATGATTTCCTTTTTGATATTGAGTAATGTATTCTTATGTATTGATCGATTTGTATTTTGCGCATTGTTTTGGTGATAAATTATATTTTGCCATATTGTTATTGATAGTTGCTGGTCGAATTCAATTTAAAAAAAATTGAAACAATTTTTTTGTTTTCCAATGAACAAGCACAGACAAAGTACAGAACACAAACTAATAAGCAAAAAGTAAAACCATCATTTAAGTCTCAATTATTGAACACATAAATATGAGGACAAATGATGTCCTTCTGCTTACATAAATGTATTACTGGACTGTTACAGAATATAATAAAAACTTAGCATAATTCATCATATTATTATTATTACATGCAATTACAATCCAAAGTTTATAATCAAGTCGTAATTCTTTCATCCTTCGTATTATAACATAGGTCGTTTAAAATTTATTGACTGATTCAAACAGGTTAATGATATTATTCATTTATATGTGAGGTGTAAAGTTTATGGTTTATTAAAGAATAGAGGAATTTATACTATGCTGAGGTTTACGATCAAAATTATCTATACAATGTTGATATAAATAAACACGCGATTATTGCTACGTGAACGAGCATTAAAAATCAGTTCTTGTTAGAATATCCAGTTCATATAAAACAATTATGGTTTTACGCGAGTTTGATGATGAGAAAGGATAGAGTTGAAGAATTTCATCACAGGTGAATTGTAAAACGTTAAATAAATAAAAATTAAAGTGGTAGAGTTTAACCTTGCACTATCAAAATATTTCTCTATGCCCTTGAGGTAGAATTGTGCATTGTTTTGAATTGATCGTTATTATCAGTGGCATTTTACCATTTTAGTAACTGACTTGTAAATATTCAACATAATTAAATATAGAGTGAAAGAGAATTAGGTTTGGCCAGGTACTCATCTAAGATAAATATATTGCGATATAATTATATTATTTAATATAATTTAATTAAAAATAATAAAATATTTATAGTAATAGTTCGTTGTAAATTCAGTGGTTTTATTCACCGCTCTAAGACAGAGTCATTAAATAAGTTCTGCACATGCAACATTCATCTTGTTTGTAATGAAGAATATTTTATTCTGTTCATATACACACATTAAGTCTTTAATATATAATATAAATATAACCAAGTATATAGCACGTTTTATACCTACCGTTTAATAAGACGAAATGGGCGTGTAAAGTTGCTAAATAAGAACAAATAAATCATATAATAAGGGGTATAGGGTTAGATTGCTTTGCAATTACTGATATTTAAAATAAATAGAAGCAGTTTAACTTTTTTTTATACAACAGCTTTTTTAACTTTCAGAGTTAATTTCTCTAAGACAGTGCCAGTCTAATCTGTCTAATCTACTATTTTAATTGTATATTTATAAATAGATATAAAATATTAATTAATTAATAGAAAATATTTATAAAATATATATTTTAATTGTATAATTATAAATATAACTATAGAATAGAGGTGGCAAAACGAAAGTGAAAATACTATCTAAATTTTAATTTCTTAAAGATCTGAAAGGTGTGAACACGCTAATTAATAGAAAAGCATCTCAAAAAAAAAGAAGTTTTACGTTGAGGACAGTCTGAACCAAATCATCTTTTACAAAATAGTAAACTGAAAATTGATTCTGTATTGATGATAGAAAAGCACCCCAAAAAGAGAATTTTAAGGATGCAGACAGTATAAACCAAAACATCATTTCAAATATAGAGAACTAAAGATTTACTCTGTATCCTATTGATGATAAAAAAGCACCTAAAAAGAGAAATTTCAGGTTGAGGACAATCTGAACCAAAACATCTTTTACAAAATACAGAACTGAAGATTCATTCTGTATTGATAATAGAACAACACATCAAAAAGACAAATTTCAGGTTCAGGACAGTCTTAACCAAAACATCCTTTTCAAAATAGAAAACTTAAACTCTTTATTGATCAGAAACATGCACTTCAAGAAAATTAGATAAAACTACCTGAGATGCTTCCAGATGGAGTACTTAAAAAAAAATTATGAGCATGAAATGAATCCAAAAAGTAACAAAATAATAAGTTCAGCAAAGAGAGACTAAAACTCTAAAAGCTCTAACAATTTTAAAAAGAACGAAACAACATAAAATATTATTAGATTAGATGAAGTAGAATGCATGTGATAGACGACTTGCTAGAAGAAAATTTCGGTAACACTGAGAAAGTCGAATTATCAGCAGAAAATTGTATAAAAGTGAACTATAATAGAGAGAACAACCTCTAATAATAATAATATATACACATATATATATATATATATATATATATATATATATGTATTTAAGTGTATAAATATGTAGCCTACATTGTGTTGTTTGATCCGATGTTTCTCTCTAAACGTTCTCGATATTATGATTGA